TTGCAATTTCCCTTCGCTTTTTATTTTTATTTACTTTTTTTTCGAGGGCGAAAAATTGTGCAAATATTGTGAAAAATAAATTTGACTACAGTAAAAAAAACTTTCATAAAAAAAAATCAAATAAAATAAAAACACTTCAACCAAGTATTGTTTTTCTAATTCCTTTATCTGACTTAATAATTAGTATACATGATAGATAATCTAATAATTAAGTTTTGAGATCCTAATACTATTTGAGATATATACACTTCAATCTCTGCTTATACTTAGAAACATAATTTGTTAACAATGTCATACACTCTAATTACAATACTAGATTTAATACATATTTAATACTGAATAAACAATTGATATTGAATATTTAATGATATTCATGTTAATCATCTGATAAGCTCGCGCATTCGACTTGCCAGTTCATTAAGAGCTAATGATCATGCGGCCTGGCTATCCGCTACACTCAGGTGGCCCAGGGCCCAAAGCTCCAAGGCGGGCTTGTCATTAAGCGAGCGCACGGCATATGAAAAATGAAAGTAAAATGAAAGGCCGACCGCACACACACACACACATATATATATATACACCTATACAACTGCAGTTACTCATGCAGATACTCAGGGATTGGCTCGCATCCACTCAATCAGGGCCAGGGAAAACCGCCAGGGAGTTGAGTACAGCAACAACTAGTTGGCAGCGCCTGGGTCAGGCCAAAACATTGATTTCCCCAGACTTTACGAGGCAGAAAGAAAATTAATTACCTAACCTAAAAACTCGGGCCACCAGACCCGATGTGAGGCCGAGCCAAGCATTGTTGAAAAATGCCAAGTTGGCAGGAGTCGATGCTATTCTATTTTGTGTTGCTCCTGCCGCTGACTCATTGGGCATGAGAACGAAACGAATGATATCGAAAATCGAAATCAATAAATGAAATTGGTCAAATCAATTTGACAACAATTGCAATTTGTGCCAGGCAAACGAGGCTCAAACAAAAACTGGGCCACGAAATTTGATTAAAATGGAGGCGCGCCACAAAGTCGAAGCTGCTGTGAATGGGAATTGGAGTGAGAATGGGAATGAGAATGGAAATGGAAATAGAAATGGGATTGGCAATGGGAATGCGAATTGAGAAATGAGAAATGAGAACTGTGAAATGAGAAATGCGAGTGAGCATAATGTAGTTGGTCTGTCTGTCACTTACCTCCATTGCCGGATATCACAACGATGACAACCACTAGCATGCTGAGCATAATCAGCGCCCGCTGGCAGCTGCTGCAGTCCACAGATGCGACGCTGGCTGCCGTGGAGCAGGTAGTCGGCCAGAGCCGGTTGCAATTTGTGAATGTCCCATGCCGGTGCTGCTCGTCCTGCGCCTCCGGACTCACATCTGCAGCAGGATCTGTATGCTGCTGTCTTTGTCGTTGTTTTAAATTCGTTTGTTTCTGCTGCTGCTGCTGCTGCTGCTGTTGCTGCTGTTGCTGCTGGCGTTTTTCCATTTGAAAAGTTGCCATAATATTTCACTCGCCTTTGTATGTGTATGTGTGTGTGTGTGTGAAAAGGGGGGGCTACTTCGGGGCTAGTCAGTCACTCGCTCGCTCAGTTGGTAGGCGCTTCCGAATCTAGCTGAGAATGGGCATTTTTTTGGCAACTGTATAACAATGGGGCGTGGCTGGCCGCCTTATTAGCGCCTGCCATGCTGCCGCGATGCGTGAAATTGCCGAGCCGGCTTACAAATTGCCCGGCTTGCTTAGGGCGCTTCTTCTGCTCCTCCTCCTCCTCCTCCTCCGCCGCCGCCGCCGCCTCCTCTTCCTCTTCCGTTCAAGCTGTGTGAGTGTTGCTGTTGGTGTTGCTGTTACTGCTGCTGCTATTTGTAGCCTGCCCAAGTCCTATGTTGGCAAACTACTTTGCATTTGTTCTGCTCGGCTGGTGCTGAGAAATCGCTGTCATTTTTCCAGCGATTTATATTCTATTTAATTCCACTTTAACACGATATCACTGGCTATCACTTCATCTTCATTAGCGGCCGTTGCCGGCCGGCAAGCGTACTGATTGCGATTGTCCTTCGTCCTTCGTGCGTCCGTTCTGCGACGTTAGCGACGGCTGCAAGAGAGACAGAAAGTGTAAGAGAGAGATAGCGATAAATACAGAGCTAAAGCGAAACAAAAAAGTCAGCGTTAAAATATTTGGAATTTCATTAAAAATTCAAATGTCAAAGTCAAAATAAATGGAATTTTGTGTGTGTATATGCCGGCACGTGCTGAATATACTCTCTGTGTTTGTGTGTGTGGGTATGTGGGTGTGTTTGTATTTGTATCTATATAGCTAAGGTATGAGCCAGCGAGACTAAAATATTTTATATATATTAGCTCTCAAACGCGTTGCCTTTATGAATCTGTTTCTCCAACTGCCCAAATACCAAAGAATGAGAGAGAGAGAGAGAGAGAGAGAGAGAAACAGAGTGAAATACAATTTCGAAATGTTTTACCTCTCAAGCGAAAAGTTATTCCAAAAATTATAATCAGATGCGACGGTCTGAAGGCGACAGCATAAATACTTTTAATGGAAATCTATGTAATTCCACTTAAATTACGACCGTTGCCATAAATAAGAATTGAATTTGATTTGAATTTGTGTCGATTCAGCGTAAATGCTGCAAATACATTAAAAATATACTGTAGACATCATTTTAATAGAGTTCCAAAAAGCTCAGTTGAGAGAAAGAGACAGAGAGAGAGAGCGAGTTTCTCAATTGAGCTTTAAAAATCTCTGAGCTCTATCAATATTTACAATCAATTAATTTAACTCTTCTTCAATTAGTAACAAAACTTTGCTAAATGCCAACTAAGTGAAGTTCTGAAAACCAAATAATTAATTAAAACTTTTGTGCAACGAGTTTTAACTTTGTGAAAAGCTCAAAACAATTTGAAACTATTCATTTCGAAGAGATTCTTATTATTATTACTTTCTTCTTTCTCGGAAATATTTATGCTTAACATCTTAAATTAATTAAACTCTTAATTCAATTTGTGGCCTGGCTCTGAATTAGCGCAGAACCCGCAACATTCTATAAATCTTAAAATATTTGCATTATTAAAATTGTCTAAGGTCAGATGGTTTTCATTTGCTTCGGGTTGAGGGCGAATGTTTATAATAAACCAGCGAAAATTGAGCTCTCTGACGGCTTCAGCTGCCTGAAGAATCCTATCATATATTTAATGACATATAAATTGAGACATTGAAATGTTCACTTGCTCTTAATTAGTATCAAGTCACCCAACGTGAGAATGCGTATAAATAAGTAAAGACATCCTTTTTCTACTTTAAAGTCCGCGACATGGTCGGCTTCATTCATTAAATATGCATTAGTAATGCTCTTTTAACATTGACCAATTAAAAATGTATGAAATTAACTAGTGCGAATGCTCTGCGTAGAAATGCCTGATCGACTATAAAATACCCTGGACTATAAAATACCCTGTTCCCAGCTGCTTTCTATGAGCAAATTTGCCATGTAAAATTAATGATTATAATAATTTCCATATTCATATTCCTACATATAGAGCCAAGATCTATATAGAGACTTCCCAGTATGTGGTCTCCTTTCATATAGCCTCTCAATTCTTAACATTTTGTATATTCGCTTGCAAGCAACACAAGTGGCCTACATGCCATCTCATCCTCTCTCATTAAAACCTGGGATCCCGTTCAACAACAGCTATATTTGTCTTACTCTCGTAAAGCGCCATTTTGAATATTCTTGAAAATTCTTGAGTAATACACTCATAATATCATAATATCCGTACTTTATATAGTCAAACTGGATATTGCAATTTATTCCGAACTCTATTCCAACATATTTCTAAAATCTAAATATTAGTAATTCCAATAAGAGAATCTACATTCAACTTAAATTCCTTAAAAAATCGGTTTATCAAAATACCAAAACACGTTGCAACAAAAACTATCCAGCAGAATGAAATGTCCAATGCTCGAATGAACTCGGGAATAAAAAAAAAAAAAAGAAACACAAAAAATAAAAAGAAAAGCAGCAAACAAATTTATTTAGAGAAACAGCGAGAACAGCTGCTGCATGCCACATGGCAGCTCCGAGTCCTTTGCCAGCGTTTGACGTACATAAGAAATTGGCCTGGCCTGGCTTCGGTCTGGCTGGGGCTTGGGCTGGCCCCAATGGCATTTCATCTTGCCAACAATCAGACAGTTGTGGCACAGGTAAGCCAAGGTGAGCGAGTGGTTGAGCGACTGCTGTAAGCTATTTCCTTTTGCTTCATCTTCTCATCTTCATCATCATCGCGTTCTGCTTCTTCGTCTTTTGTTAGGCATTATTAGTGTCAAGGCGCGCGTTGCGTATACGCCACGTGGCCAGCTAGGAAAAGCAGCAGCAGCGAGAGTGACGACAGACGGCAGAGCAGTGAATTAAGCCAAAGTCAGCTAAAAGCAGATCACGCTGCTGTTGCATTAACTTGTAAGTGCCTGACCCATTCGCCCATTCGTTGCATAATTAAAGCCCAGAGCTTCATTATAATTTCCATTAAAATAAGCGTTGGCCAAAGCCGCGCAACAGAAAACAACAATAAAACAGGTGAAAAAAGTCGTAATCGCACTGAACTGACTGCAAGATACTCGCTCAACAAAGGGGAAAACTACAGAAAGAAGAAAAGTTACGGGACGATAAAGCTGCAACAGTTTACGATGCAAGGATTATAGAAAAAGGTGACCTTATATACGAGGGCGGTTCCAGAAGTGTCTAACCTAACAAAGAAATCACACAAAAAAATTTAGAAAATAATGAACGATTTCAGTATTATAGAAAAATATGATTCATAAAATATCTGATATACTAAAGCGGTTCCAGAAGTGCCAAACCTAACACACGAAACACAACAAAGAAAATTTGTTCTTTAATTTTCGACATATTCTTCGTTTGGCTTGGATAGCCTATTTCTATTATCATTGTTAGGAAATAGTCCGAAGCAATTCGAACTTAAGATCATGTTACCCAATATTTTAAAGCCGAAAACGAAGGAACAGACTCCCCCCGAGTAGAATGCAGTTCGACCTCTATATTCTTTCAATTGAAACCTTTCAAATGAAACTTTGAATTACATATCAGAGACGAATTTTTCGTTGATTACAAATTCTTCGAGATCGTCAAGTTCCATGCCTGCACAAAAAATACTAAGCGATGTATCGACGTGAAACTTAAAATTTATATTCAAAAGGGTTGTCCCTTTTTACCTATGTACCATATACAGGCTAGGAATACCCTTATACATCTGTCTAAAGCCCATACCAATATAATATAAACAGTCTAGGAATTTCCTTCTATATCCCTGCAAAACCCATATACTCCTCTCGAAATACAAATATCCAAGCAATATACCCATATCCAGGTCATTGACATCGTTGACAGCTGTCAAAAGGGGTTAAAACAAAAGAGTTTGGCGCTGGCCACGCCCCTGCGCCTTCAATTAATTATTGAAATATGCAGGCCGTGTAATTATATTTGATTAAAAACAATGCATATTGGCCAATAAAAATTTACGTTAATTATCCAGCAACCTCTGCTGCAGCAGTTGCAATTCCAATTGGCGTTGCCGTTGCCATTGCCGTTGCAGTTGCAGTTGCAGTTAATAACGCTTCTTTTGTTGAGCAATTTCCACATTTATCATATGCATAATAAATTTTATTGGCCGCATTTAAAACAATAGGTGCTCATTTTTATTGCCAACATTCTTTGTTTTTTTATTTTTTTGTCTTTGTTTTCAATGCATCCGTGTTATTTGTTTTAAATTTGCATATTAATTATTCGAGAATGGCATTTGTTGCAAATGTGTTTTTGCATGTGATACAATGCTGGCAATAGCCCAAAGAGCTGGACAAAAAACGCTTAAGTAAAGTTTGATATTATTAAACAAATATTATTAATCCGCTTCAAGCTTACATAAAATAACGGCACATTCGCTGCAATATTCAAATTTAAAAAAATGACAAAGTCCAAGTATTTATTGTATTCACAGCTTAGCTCCGATGCGAGCAAACAGATTAAAAACGAAAATGTCATTTTGACAATTTGTTTTCCTTTTTTTGAGAGAGGGTTGACAAAGAGAATGAGACTGGGAAAAAGGTTTTGGTGTCAATGCTAAATCCGTGTACGGATAAGTAAAGCCTTTCTCTGTCTGTCACCTTTGTAGGGCATTACGTAATTATTATGTATTCGGGTCCATGGAGCAGTGGACCAGACCGAATTTTTGTTATGTATATGAATGCATTAACTTATTCGCAAGCTTTGAGGCATGAAATTGGCCTTTATATTCCAATTAGGGTATTTCGAGTATGGCATTGTGTGTAGCTGAAGAGGTATAACGGGAAATTAAAGAGTCCGGACAAAGAGTTTAGTCAAGCTATGGCTATAAATATGGCTGTTTCTTTCTTTCTTTCTTTCTTTCTCTCTCTCTCTGTCTCCGTCTCCGTCTCTATTTTGAATATATTCCACATATTTCGTAGAATTTAAAGACTGAGCACTTCTGAACGTTAAACTAGTTATATGGGATCTTTAGCTAGTCTATTCTGATATATAGTTATTTATACCATATACACGATCTTTACCATATAAACCATATACATCATAAATACCACATGTACTATTTATATCAACCATAAGCTATATATACCATATATACCATTTATATATAAACAATCCATTCCTCTACTTTAATTGGGTCAAGTCTCTATATCATACAACAAATTTAATTAATTCAAGTGTATTCGCTCGGCGACTACTTCGACAACTCATTTTGTAATTCAATTGAGCAGCTTAGGTACCATAAAAATAACACAATGTACCTCTAACTCATCTCTCTTCCTTTCTTCCATCTATTCATTTCTCTCTCTCTCTCTCTCTCTCTCTCTCTTTCTCTCTCTATCTCTCGCTTATTCAGCATCTATACTGTGTCTCATCATCAAATAAACCGCAAACGAAGTTAAGCAACCCAAAATTAGAATCCACGTGCGCTTGCTCTTGAAACAAATCCCCCGCCCTGACATCAAACCAATTTTTGGTGGTTCTGCTTTTCTAATAGAGGTGAGAGACTTTGAGGCATTTAAGCGATTATCTGTATTATCCAAACAATTAAAGAGGAACAATTTTATCTTACGTTAGATTATGAATCTAGTGGAATTTACCTTAAGTAATTTGAGTAGAAATGCGTGAATATTAGATGTTCCTGATGATGTTGATGTTGTAACTCAATTGTCTATTCCAAATGTTAAACTTTCTATAGATAGAAAACGGGTGTTAAATGGTTTTTTGTCTTTCGTTTCGCACTCGTTGTTGCTTTAAAGAAGCCATTCAACATGCTTTAAAATCCCACAGAATAAAAATCAAACAAAAAAGCGACAGAAAAAAAGGATAAAGTTTCACCGAATTGGTATGGGGGCTATTTACGCTCATGGCGTCCAGTCAAAAGAAAACCGAAGCATAAAATGCGGCGTAAAAATAATTTCCTTATCCCTTTTTACTTTATTTTCTTTTTTTGTAGTCTTTTTTTCTCTCAGTGGTTTTTCCACCGGTCGTAATTCGCAGGCTTACGTATATGGGAGATCTGGCAACCCTTCATGCATTTAATATTTTCCTTTTAACTCCCTGTCTGCGGTCCGAGCCAAAGGACGAGCTTTTATTAGAAATGCAAATTGTTATGGCTTTGTTTTTGCCGTCAATTTATGTGACAGGCGAGCAGCTAACAGACCCGAAAACTAATCCAAAATTAGTTAAAAAAGTTCATCGAAAATGTTTCTTAGCAAAAACATTTGGAATTACGTATTCATTAAAAATTAAATAGTTTTACAACACTTTTCATCTTATTTATATAGGGATGCCCTTTCCGTAACAACGTCGAAACTTATAGCTACGCCTTTTTTTTGGCAACTGTTTCTGAATTGATTTTTTAGCGTGAAGGTATTTTAAAGCATTTCGGGCTACACCTGGCGGTCAAAAAATAAAAGGGCAAAAAGGACAACATTTATTTTTGGTGCGGCCTTCGGGTTGAGCAACAAAATCAAAACAAAACAACAACAAAAAGTTGGGCTTTTATATTGTTCGGGGCTGCCCTTGGCTGGGCACTCGCCCACGTGCATGAAGTGTTTGCGGATGTGTGATTAAATCTGCGAGCCACTGTTTCCACTGTGCACAAAACAGTTATAACGCACTTCAAGAACTGTTAATTTAACACTTTTTTCTTGCGCAGAATAAGATGGAGTAAATTCATTTTTACATTTTCTTGTTACATATTATCAAACACTTCACTTTAAATGTTGCATATTTATTTGCATCGACATTATCTCTCGCTCTCTCTCTCCCACGTTCTCGCTTACACTGACTAAATTGATGTTATGTGTTGACTAGTATGATAGCATAATTATTTATTTACCGTTGCACATTGAACAACTTTTACTTTCAGCTCGTTGCCGCACCTAAAGCACACAGAGATACGTACACACACACATTTAAAGCACTGCGCGTATCAGTGTATAAGAGCTGGCTGTTTGTTTGACGGTGTGTGCCTGAATTGTCTTTTCACTAGGCCAAAGCGATGCGGGTGTCCCGTTGAAACGACCGAACGACACGACTGCACTAAATATACTGAATGAAGCACTCGAACACACCACAACAAACGAGCCAAGGCAGTGCCGAGCGCCCGACAGCCAACGAGGCGGCGGAGCCAAAGCATGCCAAAGGAGAGAGCGCAAGGAGAGCACGAAATAGAGAGCGAGCTTTTGCCATGCCACAGTTAGAGCACAGTGGTGCCAGGCATAGCCAACATGTTCTATTCTTGCTTCCAGTGCTCTTTCGACATTCGAAGTTTCGAAGTTCTGGTGCCTAGCCGTCTCTTAAGCCATGCCGGCGCACATTTCATATGCAAACGCTCTTAAGTCCAAAGTTATGGTCAGCATTTGTTGTTGCTATTCTTATTTTTTTGACACATTTACAGTTTCAAAATACACACAATTGATGCATGCAACTCGAATTTGAATTGTTTTCAAAGACAAAGCTACATATTTGCTGGTTATTCTAACCACACACACACTCGCACACATGCACATCTGTGGACTGGTAACGACAGTTGGCTCTCACACTCGTTAAGCACTTTGCTCACACTCATTTCCTTGGCTGTCTGCCCAAATCAAACCGAAGCCCACACTACCCTACAATACTGGTTCACAGCCCAGTTACTATTCAGTTAACTGACTTTGACACTTTGGCACAAAATTGAAACGGATTAAGACAGTAGCAACAGCCGCAGCCGGGCATATTCTTTCGATGCATTTATTAAATTTACAGATATTTATCATTTTATTTAGAAACATACATATATATTTCAACTTAACTTGTCAGTTGTGTAGGGGAAATTATTGAATATTTTCAAAAAATATATT